ATGACTGAGCACAGGGATTCTCCCCTGTCTCTCTCTTGATCTTCATCCTTGGCTACTCCTTCTTGCTGCTCTCTGGGGTTTCCATGAAATTGTAAGGTCAGTCTGTCTTTGGTTACTTTGCTGTGCATTTTTCCCTTCAGCTCTTTGCAGTGACTTCAGGTTGCTCTGTTGTCTTTCTTCCTCGTCTTTCACTCTTGCTATTGATTATTGATACAGGGACAAAATAAACTCATTCCAAGCCAATTTGCATGGAGAAAAGCAGATGATTGTAGTGTGAATAGCTCAAGAATAGATCTTTCTGCTGGTTGCCCAAGCAATATTCAGGCAGCCAGGCACATTCTCTGCAATAAAAAGACAGTCCAAACTATAGCAGGATTTAATTGGAAAATCAGATGTTCTGTGATTCTTGATGACTGATTTTCTGCCAATTATAAAGTAGGACGAGCTTCATTAGAATCACAACAATGCCTGACAAATCCTTTACAGGTAATTTAATGGCTGAATGGCGGAACTGTGGCCACAAGTGGATAAAAATCTCTTCTGAGGAGCTGTTAGTTTTATGTGTGAATAATTTGGAGTTGCAATGCCACTCAGTTTACATGAGGCTCCAGGTCTTCTGTTGCTGTACCTCCTGTCTTGGAGTAGGTAGAAGGAATAGAGCCCAAATGAGGCTCCTCCATGTCAGAATCAGAAGGAATTGGGAAATGGTCAAAGTCAGTCAGAGGGAGAGGAAGAGGTGCAATTCATCTTTGGGGAAACCTACCAGGTGCTACTTAGGAAGGAAAAAAGCAAGGGAATATAATTTATATTTTCCATACTTACTGTGGGAATGTACTTAGCCCTACTGTTTTCTCCTCAAATTTTAATTTGTATTCCCAATCCCTGTGCTGCTGCTCAGGCCTCTAAGCACTCTGCATGCTCTTTGGATCACTGGATTGTTGATCTGCTGAAAATAGTTCATTCAATTTATAACAGATTTTTTTAAAATATTCAGAATGTTATAGGAAACAAAAGAAGACAGCAAATAATGGATAGGGTTTGGGATTGTTCTGAATTTCTTTTTTTTTCCTCTTGATTATTGGGTTAACTGGCAAGGGCAAGAAGGGATAGAAAACTGAATAAAGAGGAAAAAATAATCCTTGAAAAAGAAAGTCCCATTTTTCAGTTCCAAAAGACATTTAGAAACATAAAAGAGAAGCTATTTTCCACAAACACTTTCCTTTGAAAAAGTGAACAGTGGTCAACCCACTCTCCAATAACAGAAATATTTTTATAATAGGCTGGACACTGAAACCATAAAGTTTTTTAGATTTTAAGGCCAGTTCCTCTACTGATTTTTTGAGTATCTGCTGTGCTTTGCAGATTTTCCTTTTCATATGTACTGTGTTCTGTTCTGTGGGCTGGGATATTAATAGGATTTGATTTAAAGCACTTTCATGAATCACGTTGCAAGCTACATTTAGCTATTCCTGACTATTACAATACCTAAAGTTTTGAGGCAATCAAATGCCACAGTAGTGGGGGCCAGGGGAAAGAATTAGGGCAGGAGATGAAAAGATTTGAATCCCTGGGAAATCACAAGGTGTTTGTTACTCACCTGTGTGTTAGTTCCAGCAGTCTCTATGTATAGAATGTGTACTTTCTACAAGAGCATGCAGTGATAGAATAAGGGAGAATGGCTTTAAACTAAAAGAGGAGAGGTTTAGGTTTGATATTAGGATGAAGTTCTTTACTCAGATGGTGCTGAGGCCCTGGCACAAGGTGCTCAGAGAAGCTGTGGCTGCCTCATCCCTGGAAGTGTCCAAGGCCAGGCTGGATGGGGCTGGAAGCAACCTGGGGTAGTGGAAGGTGCCCCTGCCCATGGCAGAGATTGCAATGAGATGAACTTTAAGGTCCCTTCCAACCCAAACCATTCTGGGATTCTATGATTTACTTCATAGAAACGTTTTCCAGGCTTCCTGAATGAAAGATTGTTAATGTGTGAAGAAATAAACCATTTATTCTTATTAATAGTCCACAGTATTATTAAAAGTCTGCTGAGAGAAGTGCAGCAAGGAAGCTGTTGATGGGCAGAGAAGATCACTGTAGATGTATGGCAGAACTTGTTATGGGAAAATAAAAACTTGAGCTGCATGAAACAGCAAAGTGAGGCTTCTGAGCTTTGCCCTGCCCTGAGGAAATGGCCCTGTGTTTGTCCCAGGGGTGACCAGTCACTTTTCAGTGAGCTTTGTCACTACTCACTGAGTTGGATCCTGTTTCCTGTCCGCAGTGGATTTGTTTTAGAGATGCTGTGGAGCTGTGTGTCAGCACCAGCAGTGTGTTTTGGTCCCTCAGGGCTGCCTTGGGAGGCAGCTGAGCAGATGGGCTCCTCCTGGGTGTTCCTGTGGCAGGAGCTCCCCAGAGAGCAGCAGTGCAGGTGCTGCTCTGCAGGAGCAGACCAGCAGGCCCTTCAGGGGAAGGAAGGGGGAGGACAACACACAAGGAAGAGGCAGCCAGAAGAGACAAGAGAGGACCTAAATGGAGAAACAGCAGCAGTCATCTGCGTCTAGGGCTTCAGGTATAATGATTTTGTCTACACTGTTTCAGGCTGCAAAGCAGTTACATCACAGGGTCTGAAGGGTTTATCCTGAAAAATAGATCCACATCTTAGTAATGGCTAACATCTGAGCAAGTGGGAATGGGAATGATGCCATAAATTTGCTTGATACCCAGTCCCTTTACACATCACTGCAGTGGCAAGCTATGGCATCTCCTTTTGTGTTCCAGCCTCTTCATTTCTTCACCAATGCCAACTGATACCTTTTTTTCCTCCTGTTATAAAAGCCTCTTTCCTCAGTAAACTCTTAATTTATTGATGAAAGCACAATAGTCTACCTTGAGCTAAGCCACACAGAACAGCCTCAGCCCCTTACAGCTGTGTAGCACCTCGAGGGTGGAGATGCTGAATTCTGCTGGAGTTTTTCCAGGGGCTCCAGTCAGTGCTTTCAAGCTCTTCATTATGCTGTCTCCAGATATATTCTGCCCCTTGTATTTATTGATTGTTTTCCTTCCAAATCAGGTTGATAATAGCAACCAGATTTTTGGTTAATTATGTTTATATTACTTTCTTCATCGAGTGTTTCCAATCACTGTCTAGTGATGGCAGTGTTGATCATTATCACTGATCTGCCCTGGACTCCTGATTGATGTTTACTGAGTCCCACATTTGTTTATCATTAGCTCATGACACTCCTCATTTTAAGAAGTATTCAGAAGTTCAGTAGGACATCTTAATGCTCTGAAAAGAAACTGAAAATGTATGACTTGCTAAAAAAGATCAGTATAAGTTGCATACAACAGAATACTGAATATGTTATTTGCTTTCCAAATTTTGATGTGCTAAAATAAAACCCTATCATTTATACATGGTGACTTGTTTTTACTTGCTCTCAGCACCACACTTGGAGTCATTTAATCTTCTTCTGCTACAGTCATCTCACTTGTCCTCCTCATCTCTCCTCTGTTGGTGAAATGTTCCCCCCAAAAACACGAGTGTATCCCCACAGATAATCAACCTTAAACCTATCCTGAAGTTTTTATGATGGAAGAATGTTAAGTATAGAAGAAAAAAACCCAAAACAAATAACCACTGCCAGAAACAGACCAATGTTATCAATTAACTTAGAAGCTGCTTTTGAGCTCCTCTGAGATTTATACAGCTTTTCCCTCTTTAACAATCACATTGGGGCTTCCCTTAAAACAGGTGGAATTGTGCATACCTTTGAGAAACCAGGTGGTTATAAGCAGTAGAAGATGAGGTCATTGCTTGTAAAATGCTTGTAAAATTCAGAATTATCAATCACTCTTATTGATTAACAGGTGATTTGCTGCAACCCATCAGCGGACCACAAACAACCTCTGCAGGAGGGATTTTGCTGACGCTGTCCCTTGGATTTTTAGGATGCATTCTTTAAAAATCAGCATAGACTTAGAAAGGATAGGATCCAGGGAGTGGAAGATAATGTGCAATTATCTTTATATGTATTTTATTACAGAGAAATTTACTAAGGAGAAACCTCCTCAGCACATTCTCTTGTTACAGCATTCTGTAAATGTCATATAAAAGCACTGCCCTCTACTGCTCAGGGGCTTTCATTAACGAGTATTTAATTAGCAAAAAACCCAACACTTCTTTTTAATGAGAATGATTGTATGGGCTTGCCTGTAAAAAAAAAAAAAAGACTCTGGATCTTTTCATCAAAAGAAAAATGCTAATTTATCATTTCTGAGAAACATGAATCACCTATGTTCTTATGTTTACATGGAGAACTGATATTTTGTCAAGAGTTTAGAAGAAGCTTTATGCATCTTCTCAGGCAGTGGTAAAGGAAAACACATTTTCAAGTAATTGCACCTTTCAAAATTATCATTAAAAACCTCCATTTTGTGGAATTGTGGCCAGAGAAAGGCAAAGGAATAGGAAAATTCAAGTTGTGAAGATGCAATTGCAGAAAAAAAGCTTGATTCCTAAAGTAAAGGCAATGCAATCTGTCCAAGCTGTCTGAAGAAAATTCTTGTTGCTATTTATCTGCTAATTTTACAGTACATTTTATTAAGAAACTTAAGGTGCAAAACATGTGAAAACAAGCTGAAAAATATACAGAAATACTGTTAATAGAGTCACTGCAAAATAGGGATGTGAGAGCCATTATATCATGGGAGTCAGGATATCACACCTGGCACTAGACTAAGTTTTAACAAGATCTGGTATTTTCTGGAGAAAATTTGAGCTTAACTTTGTACCTTTGCCTTGTGACTCCTTTTTATAAAGATGGAATTTGGGCTCATTAGCCAATGGAGAACTTCAGCCCATCCCAACCAATTGGGGGCAACTAAGCATTATAAATGGCCTCTGAGGCAGGTGGCTTCACTTACTCCTCAGCAGTGTTTCTGCTTTGGGAGGGCATCTGAGGAGAGAAGATTTTTATGTGAAGCTTGTGATGTTGAGAGAGTTTTAAATTATGGAAGCTTTCTGGGGTTTAGTTAACCTGTTTCAGGTAAAGTTGGAGTTTTTTTAAGGAATTTTTTTATTGTGCTAATTGTTGGTATGAGCTATAATGATGTTTTGGCTTTGTATTCCTGTATAAGTAGTGGGTTGTGGTAGAATGTTGGTTTTTAGTGGTGTTATAGCTGTTTAAAATTTTTGTTTGGCTTGGGGATTCTCATTAGCAGAGTTAATGAGTCTTCTGCAGAGTCTATGAATATGCAGGTAAACCATAATGAGCTTCTTAATAAGCAAAAGATAAATATATTTGTTCTCCTATGTTGCACCTCTTATTAAAAAAGCCTTTTGTGGAAGAAATCATTTTCTTTGTGAAGACATAAAGCAAAATCTGTGAAGCTTGCTCTCAAGGGCTTTCTAGGTGGAGGAAGACTAAGATAACCTTGCCATCATCTCTGTGCAACCCAAAATTTGTTGTAGCTTAAGAGTTACAGCTTTTTCTTTGTTAAGGCTCAAGATGAGAGCAGCACTGCTTGTGGAGCTGTGCCTGCTGAACAAGCTTCTGTGTTCTGGGAGCAAAATCTGCTGTGAAGGCAAACAATCTGCCTCTCCTGAGTCTGCTTAGCTTGCAGATTCTGCTGGGCATCAGTGACTGATGGCCCCAGAGCTTGCTTTCTCTATGGACTTCTCCTTACACCAGTGATATGGTTTGAGAGTGGCTTCTTTATGGTATTAAATAAAGCAGTTTCTGAAAGAGCCTTCTCTTCCAGCCCTGGTTTCTGTCCCTGTCATTATAGAAGGAAATTCTGGTTGCTAATGAACTTTCTCTTCCTTGCTACCTTTTATTATGAGAGGCATGTGGTTGAGTAAGTTTGATTTTGCTTTTAAAATCTCATTAAATGTGTAATACCTATGGAGGACAGCTGTGAGTTTTGTGATTAAAATGACCTGAAAGCTTTTTTTTCCTCCCTAAATGTGCTGCAGCCCTTAATTAGAGAAATAGTTCTTTAGAGAGGCCTGATTGTTTTTTAAGGCTCCTCAGAGTCTCTGTGTTGGTGTTTGTTGCAGAGGAGCTGCTGTCTCTATGGTCTCCACTTGTTTGTATTTTACTGTGCACTGCTGTAGTTATCTGTTATTTTAATGTGCTGTACCAGCCTCAAAAAATTGTACCTTTTGAAAGTGTGTGTTTATATTTTCTTTTCCTGTGTGATGTCTTGGGATCTGTGCTCTAATAATGCTTAACCCTGATAACTAGTAAATAAGAAGCTGCACTCCCTTGAGTTGAACTCACCTATTGAGTTGGGAAGGGATTTGGACGGCTCTTAATTTTCAAAAAAGGAGGTTGATTGCACCTTTCATTTAGTCACATTGTGTAGGGACTTCTCTCCAAAGGAATTAAATTGTTCCTGGTCCTCAGTTTTGTTATTGTAGGGCCTTTTGAAAGTGTCTTTGCCAGCCATAGGGAAATTGTTGGAAGCAGTGGCTGAGCTGCAGTTCAGCTTAATCCCCCAGGGAAGGGTTGTTACCTTAAGCAAGGTGAGAGCTTGGAGAATCCAGCACTTGGTAACTTCTTTAATTTCACTTTTCTTTTGCACAGAAGTAGCACAGGCAGAATATAACAAAAAACTAGAAAATCCTTGATTTAAGGATACCAACTCATAAAAACTGTGCCTAATTATTTTAGGCTTGGAAAAGTTCTCTTTTATGGAGCTATTTCTAGATAATCATTGTTTAATAATCATGACAATAAAAACATGAGAAATGTGATGTTTTGTGTGGTGCTTGGCTATAAATGGGAGATTGAGACATTATTTGTTTGGGTGTGGCTGTTCTCTGTGTTGTTGTGACATGCATGGTTTAGGGAATAAAAAGCAAAGCCTTTTTTATGCTACTTTAAGGGCTTAGCAAAATGGCTGGGGATTTATCTTCCCAAAGGTTCAGCTTGGGGGGCAGTGCAGGTTTTGTTGCCCTCCCTTCTCTGTTCCATCTTTCCTGTAAATTGGCAGAGAGCCTTGGAAAGCGCTGGACTCTTCCCATCAGACACCAGTGAAGGCTCAGCAAAAGTCCAACAGCAAAGTACAGAGACACCAGATCTGTGACTGGGCTGCCATTCCCAAACAAGCTGGGCTTTGTTGTGAGCAGGAGCTTTCTAGAATGGAGAATAATACCACGGGGTGGGAATGCAGCTGACTGCCCTGGGCTCTCCATCCTCTCTTGCAGAGCACGGCCATGGGGGATGCAGCACCAGCAGAGCCTCCAGAGCCCAGGGCTGCTCGCTGCAGGCTCTTCAATTCCAGCATGAGGAGCGTGGCCAGCAGGCTCAGGACCTTCCAGCAGTGGCCCCACACTGCCCCCGTGTCTGCCCAGGACCTGGTGGATGCTGGATTTTTCTACATTGGCCCTGGGGATGAAGTGCAGTGTTTCTGCTGTGGTGGTGTCCTGAAGGACTGGAGACCTGGTGATTACCCCTTAATAGAGCACGTGCATTTCTTCCCTTCCTGTAAATACATCCGTGGGGAGAATGCTGGGAACCAGGAGATGCTGTCCCTGCAGGAGATCTTTGACACTGTGGATGGGCAATTCCTGAGTGTCTTGCAGGGGATAGTCAGTGAGGAGCCAGCCATGCCCAACGAGCCAGAGTACCCTGAGATGGTGACAGAGGAGATGAGACTGTCTACATTTGAGAACTGGCCACAAAATTCCAGCATTCATCCAGAGCAACTGGCTAGAGCAGGGTTCTTTTACACAGGTAGGTACTCTGGGGAAATGTTCTTAACTCTTATTTGAGTTAACTTTTGAAAGCTTCACTGTTGCTTTTACAAATACCTGTGTGTACATGTTTTGTAGTTAAAAACCACATCCTTCCTTCTGCCTGTGCTGGTTCTCTTGCTGCTTGTGCAGAATTTGTTTCAACATTTAACTCCTGTTTGGGTGCTGAGGGTCCACTAGTAAATACCTCCTTGCCAGCAGGAGAGGAACAGGTGATGTGTTTTATACAGATGTTTTACAGACAGAAAAATGTGTGCTTTAAGATCCATTGAGTATATTTATTCCTTGCACTTCTAAAAGGACTTGAGGAGCTTGCTTGGTGTGTCAAGTTTTGGATAGGCTGTGTCTTGCACTGAAGCCTCTTCTCAAAACCCCAAGTCTGAGTGACAGCTGTATGGAGTCAGCCCCTCTGGCTGTTGCTGTGGCTTGTTTCTCTAAGGACTCTTAATTTGAAATACAGAAATCAGATACTTTTTTTTGTTGAGGAAAATTGGCAATATTTATTGTAATCACATGCATGTGAAAATCAATATAATGTTATTCTTTCCTTTTGAGAATGCTTTGCTGGATAGGTAACAGGTTTGAAGAAACAGGCCTCTCTGAATTGACCAGCCAGAGGAAATATTTGCACTATGGCAGATTGTGGTTAGTGAACAAAGTGTGTTCACAGGTGTAACTAATTACAGCTCTGCTCCAAAGGCAGGCAGGGGGGTTGTGCATGGGAGCTTAGCTGTTCCCATGGATGCTGCCTGGGAGCTTGTGATCCCCTTCTGGAATCATCTCAGCCAGCTCTGGGAGCTCAGACTGAGCTCCTGCCCCTGTACAATGTGTGCTGTGTTAGTAAATTGTCATGTGTTCATCTCTTCTGTCCAGAGCCTGGGTTTTGTGCTGAGTCTCACCCAGGGTTAGTGCAGGGCGTGCAGTGTCTCAGGTATCAAATAATCTCTTGCTCTTTCAGGACGAGGAGATGTAGTGAGGTGTTTTTACTGTGATGGAGGCGTGAGGAGCTGGTCCTTAGGAGATGATCCTTGGAGGGAACATGCCAAATGGTACCCAGAGTAAGTCAGTCTTGCTTAACAAATATCCCAAAAGATAGGTCATGCATTTCACACCAGTACTTTGCTTCATAGGACAGAAATGTTTATATCCTCTCACCTTAAAAGCAAAATGAAATGTTCAAGCTCAGATGGAATGGCACAGTTCAGACCTGAGATTCTCTAATTTGACCTAGAGTTCACCATCTAAGAGTTCAATTAAAATAACTTTCTTCAGCATCAAAGAAGAGCTTCTATTACTCCTACTCTGAGGTACAAGAAGAAATGTACTGTAAGCCTTGGTTTTCTGCAGCAGTTCTTGTTTCTTTCCTGTGAACTGCTCTCTCACAGTTCCTGTGGTCTACTCTAAAGCATGTTACAATTGAACCCATCTTGGGCCAAAATGAAGACTGAATTAAGGGGGAGGGATCATGATCCTCTTACTGTCAGCCTTTGTGCAAGGGGTGGGCAGGTGAAACACCTGATCCCCTGTCTTTAATGGATATATAGAGGTTTGCTCATTGCCCATAACACCCTTTGCTCATAAATTTCAAACTGTAACTTTCACTTGGGGGAGCCTGTACTAATGTATTTCAACTTTTCTGCTCCTAGGTGTGAATTTTTACTGCACTCAAGGGGGAGAGAATTTGTCAACAGTGTTCAGGCAACCTTTTCTGGCACCCTGCTGGCTCCTGTGAGTCATGAACATTTTGTGTAAAGTGGATTAGGTTTGGTAGATGGGAGAGTCTTGAACACAGGCTTCTCTTTTTGTATCATTTTCAGAGACATTCCTGGGACCAGACTGAGCAAGACTCCTCTCCTTCCCAGGGTCAGTGCTGTTATTCCATGGTGTTTTATCTTCTGGTGAACGTGGTGTAGTCTGAGTTCCACCGGCCCACCTCAGCTGCTCTGCCCTCTGTAGACATGGTGCTTGTGAGATGTTTTGATATTCTAGAAGTTGTTTGGTTTTAGGAAATGGTCTCTAGCTCAAGAAACAAAATTACTTGTTCTTGTGAGACCTCTTAGTCAAAGGCCAGAGATGCTTATCTAGTCTGGATAATCATGTGAATTTTGAGTGCATACCTAACTTACCTTTGGCTTTTGATGCTCTTGCTGTTGGTGTCTGTCTGTAAAGCCCTTCACTACAACACTTTAAACAAGATAAGAAACCAGAGAACAGTAAAGGGTCTAGATGTTCATGAAAATGTTGTTGCTGGGGTTTACTCCCATTTATCAGTTGCTCCCAGAAATGTAAGTAGGTGAAGTTTGGCTCCCATAAGCTCAAGCAAGACTTGAGCCTTTGAAGAGACTGCCAGCTGAATTTCCTACTTCTGTTGTTACTGATGAATGGTTGAGGTAGGAGAAGCTTCAATTGGGATGTTCCACTTGATGCTCATGAAAGCAGTTCTGAGGCTTCTGTTCTGATGTGAAAACAGAGATAAGAATTCTGGACTGATGCCAAACACAGACTGTTCACTGATAAAGTGAAATAAACCATCCAAAATAAGAGTCTGGGCTTTTATGAAATTGGCTTTGATTAACTTCCTTGTGAATAATGATTTGAAGTAAAAAATAAATGTGGAAGTTAATCTAGCTAAGTGGATAGCTTGAGGAGTGTTCTAGGGTATATTAATGCCATTTTATGTAGAACACCTTCAAGGAATGGCACACTTTTTGCCTTTTTGGTAAAGTACCTGTTCACTGCTTTACAGATCCCCTGAGGAACTGGAAATTGCTGGCTCATCCTTCTGAGGATCAGAGTCTCATAGTGCAGAATGTCCTGCAGATGGGCTTTGACCCCACCTGGGTGGCAAACCTGGTAGAGAATAAATTTGCGCTGACTGGGACTTTCTACCTGTCTGAGTCTGAGCTGATCTCAGACCTGCTGCAGTCAGGCTGGGGGGCCAGCAGCAGTGCAGGAGGGAGGAGAGGTAGGCCTGACTCACACCTGGGTGTTTAACCTCTTCCTCTCTGCACCTGGAGCGCTGCTGGGAGTGTCCTGCGGGTCTGCCTGCACTCTGGAGTTGAGGGCTAATGCCCCCAAGCCTGCCTTCCCTTGGGAGCCTGAGCAATGAGGCTCTGAGTTAAAAAACCTGCAGGAGCTGTGGTTGCTGGGATGTCAGTGGCTGGATCTGCCTGCACTGGGCTGTGCTGGGGATATCCTTGGTGTTTCCTGCTGCCCTCAGACCTGCAGTAACTGGCACTCCATGATGTGCAGGCTCGTGCACAAATTCACAGGTGACCCAGGCAGAGGCAGTTGTCTGAAGCAAAGCTCCTAGGATGGATAATCACTCCAAGCCTATTTAAAATTGGAATCAATAACCTGTTTATAAATAGCCATAGTTCTTGTTTAGATAATATATATTTTCCTTGACTTCTGCCTTTTGTTATCTGTTTTGTGAAGTCTGTTTGCCAAGTTGAAGATGCAGTTCCAAAGCTCCTGCCTCCACAGCATGGTCTGCCACTTCTGTAGCTAACATGGAAAAAAATCCACAAAACTGAAATTTTGATTAAATAGTAGCACAGGAGCTGGAATGACCAGCTGATGTGATGGATAAACCACCTTTGAGGAGAGAATGTGATGTGGACAGACAGGCCTGGGCAAGCAGGTGAACTTAAATAGCTGCTGAAGCATCACAGAGAACATCTGCTATGCCAGGCTGAGATAAGAAATTTTTAACCAAATGCTTCTGAAGTCCAGAGTATTTCTTGTTTCCACACAGAACTGTCAGGAGAGGGATAAAGGAGGGAGCATTGAATACCATCTTTTCTGGTTCTACAGGTGCTGTTCAGAGAGAGACTGGAACATCAAGACAAGAAATGCGATCTGTGCAGCAAAAGGAATCAGGTGCTCTGGGCTGGCAGTGTGGGGAAGTGAGCTTAAGCATGACTGGGAGGAGTTCTAGAATAACAGTATCAGTAGTCATTATACTAATTCATGTTTTAAATTTTGAAGAGGACTGTGTGCTAGTTTGAGTGGTACCTGAGCACAGGAACCCTTATTCAGGGATTGGAGTGCCCCTGTGAAGCTGCTGTTACCAAAAAATCCACTTGATGGGGATAATTTATTACTAGAGTAAATACTCTTGATATGTGACCCTGCTCAGTCCAGTGAGTGTAGATAAGCTGAATCTTGTGTAGATAAGCCACTTTACAATAGCTGTAGTTTTTCTGCTTAAATGAAACTTGCCTGAGAGGTATTTTTGCCATCTTCACAGTTTCTGAACAGAACAATGGGCAAGTTGCAGTGTGACACTCTAAGCTGTCACAACAGGCACTCTGGAGCTGTGACAAAACACTAACAGCTTGGGCTTTGGTTTTTTCCTTTGTTTTTTGGTAGAGACTCAGCTGAGCACAGAGGAACAGCTCCGGCGCCTGCAAGAGGAGAGGATGTGCAAAGTGTGCATGGACAGAGATGTGTCTGTGGTGTTTGTTCCCTGTGGCCACCTGGTAGCCTGTGAAGCTTGTGCCCTCAACTTGAGGCTGTGTCCCATCTGCAGAGCTGCCATCCGGGGCAGTGTGAGAGCCTTCATGTCCTGAGCCATGGTGCACCCAAGGGGAAAGATAAGTCCATACAACTCATTGATAACTCAGCAGAGGGAGGAAAGAAGTGATTGCTGGAGCAATCTTATTTGCAGGGTGGCTTGGAATAAGTGTAAAAACTGACTAAATGTGTCTCGCATACACAGTGTTTCTAGGAAGAACTGCTGGTTTGATCTACTCTTGCTTTAGGACTGCTCCAGGAGAACTCTGCTGGGCTCTTTTGTCCTCCCAAATGAGGCTTTTATTGACAGATATTCTGCTTCTCAACATTTTTGTGTTCTCAAGTGAATCTTTGCTCTGTGTTGAAATCAAAGACTGTTTTCAGCAGACTCTGGTTTTTTTCTCACTTACTTAGCAGCTGTCTAGAGATTCTCTTAGGGATTCCTTCAGGAAGTTTGATTGAAAATGGGAGTATTTTTTGTACAAAATACATTCCATTGGGACTAGAATACTCAGCAACAATGTATTGTGGGGGAGGGACAATCTACCTTTTTCTCCCCTTTTTGCTGTCTTTCTTTTTTCTCCCCTTTTTGTTGAATTTTCAACAACTGATGAAACGTTTCAGTAATGCTCAAATTTGCATAACTAAGTGGAAAAGTCTGGCCTAACTCTCCAAGCTCTCTGCTCTCAGCTGACCTCCCCTTGTGGAAGGCTCTGTGCTCAGGGTCACTGGATGGTCTCCTGGAAGCTTCTTATGGAGCTCCTCCCTGGCTGTTGGGTATTATCCTGGTAGAAAACAGCTCTGGAAAAATACCTTTTTAGAACATCTCTTTGCTGGCTAAACTGGTGATTCTTATTTAAAGTGGGATATTCTATCATGTAGCCAAAAAGAGTAAGTTTCTTCCATGCTATGCCTTGTTAAGTGAAGGGAAAGGAAAGAAGTTTTTAAAAATAATCTGTTCTTTTTCATGGAATAAAATTTTTCCTTTATTTAACTTAGAGGTCTGAGTATCTGATTCTAGTACAATTCCCTGCTGAGGGAGGGGTGTGGTGGTGTCCTAAGATGCTGGAGTGACATCAGGTTGTAAACAACACCTGTCCTTCAGTGCTAGGTGGGCATGAGTAAGAAAAGCAGCTGTTTCACCATCCATTAGTGTCCTTTGGCATTTACCAGACAGCATGTGGGTCATAGAGCCTTGGAATGGTTTGGTTGGAAGGGACTTTTAAAACTCATCCAGTTCCACCCCCCTGCCATGGCAGGGACACCTTCCACTGTCCCAGGGTGCTCCAAGCCCTGTCCAACCTGGCCCTGGACACTTCCAAGGATCCAGGGGCAGCCACAGCTGCTCTGGGCACCTGTGCCAGGGCCTCACCACCCTCACAGGAGAGAATTTGGCTCCTCAAAGTTCTCTTAAGCTGCAAAAGAAGAGAGAAGGATGAAGGAGAATAAGAATCTGATACATAAAACTGTGCAAATGCAGAATAATTTTGATCTGAACTCTTTGCAGAGTTTTGGCTCTTTTTAGTGCATTTGTGGCTCTGGGACTGCTTCTCTTTGGTTGCTGCTCTGGTTACTAAAGAGCTTAGGGGCTTGCCTGTGAGTCACTTTAAGGTGTCAGTTATCTGTGGATCCCATGGGAGGGCAGCTCTCTTCATCCCTGCCCTCAGAAGAAGGGAACACTAGCACAGTTCTTGGCAAAGATGAGAGAAATTAAGACTTGAGTGGTTTAAACTCTGCAGCTCTTGGAGGAATTGGTTGGGTCTCTGCCAGACAGCAGCTTTGCTAGGGAACAGAATGTCACCACCATGCCAAATTAGGTCTTGTCTGGGTTCAGGATATCATTGGCTTTGTTTTGCCTCTATAAATACAGCACAAACTTACAGTTTAAATAGATGTGCTAATCTGAGAAGGGAAAACACCAGCTCAGAGCTGGAACAGTGTTATTTCCTCCCAAACTCACCTGAGTGTGACTCAAGTGAGGCTGGAACTGCACCAGCTGTTTCTGGGGCTAACCCTATAGAACGGTGTGAAAATGGTGAATGGCTTTTCCCCCCAGGGAGAGGGAGGAGCTGCTTTGTGTCCTGCAGGGAAATGTCCCTACAGAACCAGGTACCACGCTCTTCCTCGAGAAGCATCTCCAGCGATGCCTGTCCCCAACAGAGGGCACTCCGAAACTGGAGATGAGGGAACCCACCACCCTCAGCTGCTCCTGGATCACCCTGGGCATGGCATGGGGTGGGACGGACTGGCAGTCCCTGCCCTCCCAGAGCACGGTCACTGTCACCTTGAGGTACTCAGAGTGAGTCTAGTACAGGCAGACCACGAGAGGGGTTCTCAGGAGGAATGAATGAGACCTGGAGGAGATAATTAAGTGTGGAATATGACTCTTGGTAGCTTTCTCTTCTCAGACCCTTTTTTTTTAAAGATTAATGGCAGTCATTGATACTGCATATTATAGGCTTACCTGAACATGGGCTTGGTGTTTATTTTACTTGTTAATTGGTGCTTTATGCTACAATGAACACAGGCAATAGAGTGGTAGTCCTCAAGTGACTCAGTCATCACACTTTTATTTCATTGATCTTTGTCAGTGTATGAAAGCCAAGGGGCAATGATGTTAAGTGCAGAGTTTGATGCTTTATCTCTTTTAGAGCGCTTAGCAAGGGGTTTTGATCAGTTTAATTGGTCAAAGTGGCATCAGAGCTTGGTCAGTTGGGGAGCTGTAGGGTTAAAAACATGCAGACCTCAACTCCTAAAGTTCCCCCCTCTTACCCTCTAGAGGAATTGCTTCCTGGAAGTACCAGTGAAATGTTTCAGATATTCAGAGCTGAAACTGTCCTTTTTGCACCACCTGTGCTGAATTTTGATTGCTCCCAAACAAGGCTGACAAAGACTGCTGGTATCTGATTGATAATAGTCTCTCTGAGGAAAAGAAATCATATTAAACCCAAAATGTGTGAAGTCAGTGCTTAATGAGATAAGGAAAGATTAATTTGAAAAGCCCTGAACAAATGAAATCTTTAATGGGAAAATCTCATTGAATAGAGGTTGTGTTTTCTTCTTTTTGTTTTTCTGCCTTTCCAGGGAATGTCAGGTGGGCAGACAGGAATGAGAGTGATCCATAAAGAAAGTGGATAAAGGAGAGGTGGAGAAAGAATTCCAAATGTGCGCGTACTGCTGTGTGTGATCTCAAAATGGAGAGCAGATTGTGTTTCACTGGTATTTTTTAATTTGGTAGTGACACAATGTTAATAATGAGGAGGTACTTGTCTTTTGTCATGCAGAGCTGTCAGGGTGGAGCTTTTTTCTTTGAGGTATTAAACAAGGATGAAACTAGTTGTCTGTTTTGCTCAGTCAGAAGCTGTGGATTTTGGTGCCTAAAAAAAGGGAAAAAACCACCCTACAGAAAACAACATTTTTTACTTGCAGCTGCACCCAAGCAGAACTCAGGATGTTTGGGTATCTGGAATAGAAGTTGCACAGAAGCAAAAAATACTCTCTCAGTGCTTATGCATTTGGGTTTGTAAAAGAGGATTTTGCTTCCTGGGCCCTGTGGAAAGAGACCAAAGAAAGCTGCATCATTCTGTCTTTGATTTAGCACTTAATGTTTTTATTTTTGTTTTTAATTCTTCCCTCACACTTCTCCCTAGCATGGCTTCAAGCTTGACCCTTCTGAAAAGCATTTCTCAAAAAATGCCAAGTAATCCCAAACAAATTAGGCAAGACAACAATGAATTACAACAGGACTTAAAGTATCAGCCCAAAAATGCCAGGGCTGGCTGACAACTGCTCCTCCTCTGCTTTTGACACTTCACATGCTGGGAGACACAGCTAACAAAACTGCCTTGGTTTTGTTCTTCTTTTTAATCAACTGCTGCAGCTCATTAATGCAACTTAATTACACTTGCATTCCCCCTTCAGCCCTTTCCCTCCCCTCAAAAAGCCTGTCACAAGTGAAACTCCTCCACCAGGCTGTTACCATGGAATAGGTGTGGCTCTAGGTGAAGAAGGCAGGTGCAAACCCACCTCTGCTCCATGAGGAACTGGGCTTTTTCCAGGGCCTGCAGCAGGATTCAGCTCACCAGGGTTAATTTAATGTAGCTGGGCAGAGCCAGATGAAGCTACAGCTGCTCCAGGAATGGCTGGGCTGGTTGGATGTGGGGTGGAGCTGCATGCTGAGTGAAGAGCTGATGGCTGCAGCAGTGTTCAGCTGTTCAGCATTACAGGAGCCAGGCCACACTGAGCTCCAGGACAAAAGCCTTACTGCCATGTCTACAGAGAACGAGCAAGGGGGTCCTGGCTGGGGGCACAAAGGAGGGAGAAGTTCTCACCTATAACTTAGAACCCAACAATGCCTAAGTAACTCAAGTGTAAAGAGCCCCCACCTCATGTTATGCAGGCAGGGAGGAGATGAAATTGTGTTAGGGGATTTAGGCTCTGTTCAGAAAAAGGGAGGAAACTAACTACGGAAAATATGAAATGTCCCAGGGTTTTACGCAGTGCTTCCTTCTTTCTGGATCCATGGCACAAGGAAGCAGCTCCAGCTTCAACTGCAGCTCTTGAGAGAGGCTCTTGGTGAACTTGTTCTGCCAGAGGTCTTTAGGCCTGTGCCACTTCTGGGCCAGTACCAGCAGACTGTGGTAGGAAAGGTTCGTCAGGGCACTTGGAGGATTAAAAACCAACTGCGTGGCCGTTCTTTGATGTACATTCATTGTGTTTGAAGAGAAGACAAGGAACGAAAAAATGGAGTGGAGTTCACCATCCTGCATTTCCTCTGCCAAAGATCCAGGCCCCAGGGGACTGTTTCCTGCAGCACCTTTGGTGGAGTGCAAGGTTCATCCATCCTCTGGCTCCTCTTCACTTACGCAGGCCTAGAAGAGGAGAGAAAAAGGTGAAGGCAGGATGTGAGTATGGAGCAAGAACTCAATTGATTTCTTTATGTGGCAGAAATGGTGTGAAAATAATGAGGACAATTTTTTCTTTCCTCTTCTGGACTTTTAAATATGATTGACTACAGATGAGGAATAGGATTGAGAGCTCACAAGTAATGTGGTTA